TGCCCGATGTACCCGCAATTTTCGGGCGCCGGGCGCGCATGGCCAGCGCTAGCAAAGATAATTTTGTTTGTCGGGCGGTACGCGGCGTTAACACGGCCAGTGCCACAGTATCGCGATTCGGTGTCTCATAATAATATATTTTTGACATCAGTATGACTTAAATAATTTTGATACTCAACAAACTGTACGTACATTTGCTTAGAATAAAGTTGATTTGCAGTGATTTGTGGATCGCGTGTGTTATCAGTTGAGTTAAATCGGTTAAAGTTGAGGTCCGTCGTGAACGCATGTAACAGTTAACACATTTACATTTACGCAAAACATATTCGCAGGGAAATAGATTCGCGGTACAAAGGTCCCCGCGAATTCCGCGAATCTAGATATACCGCGGAATTTGTAGACTTACAGTATTCACAATTGTACCACCAGGTCCAGAAATAAATTTTTCCTACCACCTGGTTAAAAGATTTTATCAATGTTCCTTCTACACTGTTTTAGATAAGATACAAGGTACTAGGGACCTCCTTGCTTTGACACTTCCTAATCTCTCTTAAATCCTCTCTAATCCACAGCTAATTCACAGGCTTAAGTCATAAATTTGAAGGTCACCTCTAGGCTAGAGGTCTATCTACATGTAGGCAGCCAAATGATCAACACTTGGACTTGTCAAATATTTCCCCATTTTGTTTTTGAGAGATGCAAGCATCATTTCTTCAAAATATTGACTGGTGGACATTTTTTTACAAAACTATGTATTATTGTGTTTACCTGGTTACCTAGGCTACAAGCAATATTTGCTGAAATCATCAAGGATGTTTCCCCTCGAGTTCTCTTTCTCGGCCTCTTCATTTACAGTGTAGCAGGAAGGAACTTCTGTATCACCTGAGGGGTTAGACTACAGCTGTACATGCGGGATATCCCGTTATCCTGTCGCTTGTAAACAGTTCAGTTGTTTGCCTGAAAGACAGGTGGTGTGTACAGAGGTTTATGTCCTACCTGGGCCGCGAGTTCTTTACGCTTTCGGCCCGAGCCTTCCAAATGTTCCATGGAACGATACGAACGCGTTTCGGCCTAACCGCGTGCACCGATTTTGAAATTCGAATACAAAATTCGGATGTTGGAATTGATGTTGTCGCATTTTTGGGGTTTAGGGACACCAAATTTTCGCTCATTTCGCATTGAAAGGCGTGTTTTCTTGGGTGGGTATGACATAAATAAAATACAACATGGTGTATTCCGCATCGGGCGATCAGACGCGCGGTCGGGCTGGTACCTCGGGCGATACGGAATACACCGTGTTGTATTCTACAACATGTATATGTAGTGGTTGACAATCCAACTTCTGTATTGCAAGGTCAGGGATTTGAATCCTTGTTAGTCCTTCAAAGGGGATATGGCGATTTGGTCATCTTAGTAGTACGTTAAGTGCTGCTACATTTCTTAACTGTTGCATCGACAAAAATGCCATGCTTGTGTAGCAAAGAAATGGTTTGAAACTCTAGCCAGGTGGACTCTGATTGTACAGGTGGTAATCTGTGTTTTGTGATACCATATCAGGTGTTCCACAAGCCACATTCCTTCAACACTTTCTTCACTCAGGTAAAAGGCAGGTTGTTCTGGTCACCTGGCTCCTTTGTGGATCTTTGTCTCACCTGTCTGTGTTTCGTAAACGGGGTAATATTACCAGTTCAGTTTCCTTATTTCTTAAAGCAGGTTGATGTTTATTTCCACACTGTGCATGTATAACGGGTACTGGACCTGTAGTTAGTGACCCTGGTTTTGGATCAGAAGGTTCAGAGTTCAAATCCCGCACTGCCTTAAGTTTGTAGTTCCTCCGTTGTACTTGGCACTGGACGTTTTGAGCTACGAAGTTATTTTTCAGGTCCATTGTTTACAGTACTTCTCAAAAAGAGCAAAGGAATCTACATTTGTACCCACCACAATTTGAACCTACATGTACATGTATGTACTATACTGTACAATGTATGTGTTATTGCTGCAAGTTTTTTTTTTGTTGTTGTCTGATAAATCTTGAAACAACACAAAACAAACACTGCAGAATCCTCTTTTCCCTTTTGACTGCAAAATCAAATCCCCACAAAATGTATGATTATCAGTAGTGTACATCAAAAACATTTCAGTAGACAACCATAAACTAAATTATATTATACCCGGGCCGCGATAATGTTCGATAACGGGTTCCGGACCGGGCCGTACTTTACGGTACGGCCCGGTCCGGAACCCGTTATCGAACGCTTCCATGGCTTCCATAAAACGATTTGAACGTGTTTCTCCCTAACCGCGTGTGCCCCTTTCGAAAATTCGAATACAGAATCCGGACGTTGGAATTGATGTTGTTGCATTTTAGGCTTCAGTGGCACCAACTTTTGGCTCATCCTGCATTGAAAGGCGTGTTTTCTTGGGTGGGTATGACATAAATAAAATACAACACGGTGTATTCCGCATCGCCCTCGGTCCCGGCCCTCCCACAAGTATCCCCTCTTTTGTTGCCAAGCCAGGTACATGTACCACCTAGCGCTCGCCCTACCATGACAGGGTTTCATGTTGGCTAACTGCCCCGGCCGTTAATTGATTCCCTCCATTCGAGCGTACTGTTGAGCCGAGGCCAAGGCATTGGCTGCTGCCCCTTAAAAACCCACTGATGTTTGGGCAGCTTTTCCGCCATACAATACTCAGAATTACATCAAGTGCCCACCCTTTCTAAAAACTGACTTACAGAATAATGGGGGGTAGAGAAGGCAAGAATGGAGCCCCCTCACGCTTTTAAGAAAATGGTTCGGTTTCTTGTGTTTTTCTTCTTGTGGGAGGGGCATGCTGGCAAAAACAAGAACTCAATGATGACCTTAGGCGAACTGTAAAACAAAGCAAAACAATGGTTGTTAGAGTTTTGTTTAATTGTAACCATGGTTACTCGAGGTAAAGTCAAACCACCTGCCAGTTAGTTTTTTTTTCGCGACGGCTTTCCCCAGTGTTAGAAATGTCTTAAACGACTGCATAGCACGCTTAAGAATTTTGCCTACTGTCGTGCCAACTCTAAATCGACTGTATGCCCTTTGACATCCTAGTTCTTCCAGGTGATTGCTTTCTATTAGCCCCATACTCCACCCACATAACACAGGTAGACAGCCAGCTTTAGGGGACAATTCTTCTCTTGGTTTTTTAGGCAATCTGTCATGATGTATCAATTTCCTCTTTTTCCAACATTGGAAAGAGGAAACTGAACTACATCATACATGTATATGTACATCATGTAGACCCTGTTATTTTAACAGCAAGCAAAAAAACAAAATTTGCAAACACAAGTGGAGGATTGGGACTATTCTAAACTACACGTACCTAACTGTATGATAATAATTGCCAAGGATTAACCTTTTTCTATGTACAGATGAAAATATAAGGACATATGATTATGACTATCATTAAGAGTATGTCTTTGTATTCTTTGCAGGGGCTTATTGTACCTCTAAAGAAAGTTTTGGCTGTGGTAACAGCTTGGGTCTAGGTTCTAAGATTGCCTGAGCTCCAATTAACTGTTGACCAAAGTATTTTGGGTCTTGCTGCAATGTTTGCCTGCTCAGCTTGTGTGTTTGCTGTTGTTTTTCCACCATGTTGGTCACACAGAGTTGAGTTTGTCCCACTTGTTTGGTGTTTGTAGGGGTGGGAGGGGGGAGGGGGCTGGCTGGCAAGTGGGAAAGGGGAGGGCTGAAAGGTTGATTGACAGCTGTCATTTTTAAGTGGTGATTTATAGAAAAAATCTGTCACTTCTCACATCAGGACATTTCCTGTCTTGGATTCATCTTCAAGCACCCAGAGATCCTGTGACCTTTCACCCAGCTTGACCAAACAGGTGACGCCTCAAACACAACAACCTGTTATAAAGAGAAAAAGATTACGGAAAAGCCCATGACTGGATTTATAAGGACTGTCCTAGATTCTCTCCAAAGCTTCGAATTACAAACGCTGACTTGCCTGACATTGTCGTGGGCGAGACAGTGAACAAGGTTTGAAAGTTCCAAATTTTGTCTACCTTGACCTATCCGTGTTTTGTCTGAGGACAGTCAACGCTAAAAAAGGAAACGGAGAAAGCCCAACCCGGATTCCGCTGACAGACTTACAAACATCCCTGCTTGCCCAACATTCTGTCCTGACAGCGAGCAAACTCTGAGTCGACTTCCTGCACAGGTGCCACGTACAATGTACGTCAAGCGTGGATGTGGAAATAAAAGTCTGACACCCGAGACCAGGGTGCGATCCCCTGAAAGACCTTGCCTCTTTTGTTGTCTGGGCCGAGTCACTGTTGACTTGACTCGTACTTTATGTACTGTGTCGTCGTGCCATTTCGCGACGGCACTTTTCCGTCACACGTTAGGCTCCAAGTCCTGACGTCTAGAGGAAAATGTATTTGTTCTTGAAGACAAGTTCTACTTCTACAAGTCCATGTTTTCCTCTTTGGTCAATATGTATATCCTGTAAGGTGACGTCGTAATGGTTTAAGTAGGTTGTTCGTTGCTGCCTCCTTTAAAAGGATTAGGTTTGTTCTTGACATTGGAAAGATGAATGGTTTAGGAATGAATTACAATCTCTTTCAACGTTTCAACACAATGACTGTACAGACTCTGAGATTGGATAGGGTGTGTGCAGGTTGGCCCACACACCTTGATTATGTTCTTGACAATTCATCATCTTGCATCGATATACATGTAGGCTTGCTCAACAAAACAAAACAAATCAGGATCAATAAAGAAATTATCACCAAAATTGTGGTAACTTTATGAATACCATCCAAGAGCATATTAATGACCATGTCATTGTAATTAGAGAATTGTGATTGAGTGACAATACAATACATGAATAACACCACTTTGGTTGCTATATACATGACATGTGCTTTATGTATGCATATGTATTGTTATGTCAATAAAGTTCTCTCTGTATTAATTATAAAACAGTTTTTGACAGAATTTTTTTTTGTTTTTTAGGATGGCACCCTGATTGTGGACAACTGTGGTTCAGCCTGTCGTAACACGGGAGGTACTGGAACAGCAAGGTAACATTTCTACTGTAACACCTTTATATCAATAATTATTATTTATAGCAATCTGCAGTCAATGCGACAACCTCAGTTGGGATAAAGTTAAAAAGAACTCTAAGACTTGACGACCCAGATTTAGATATACCTTTTTTCCATCAAAATGTGTGTCACTTATTCAGTGCCCTTCAATAGAGACTCTACAGACAAAAAGAAGTCTTAGAATTCCACTCATACTTCATAAAAGTGGTTCCTGAAGCAAACCAACCTTGTCTTGTCTTGGTAGCCCCACCAAAGCAACCTACCAACCCTTCAAACAAAAACATTAAGGATAACATACTAAGTAGAGGTAGCACTGCAGGATATTAAGTTACAAAGCTTAAGCCATTTTGATTCATTTTCCATTCCTTTTGAATTATACTTATGTGGAGATCAGGGTCTTTGCAGTGAACTTGATGTTGGAATTAAATGGAAAAATGTGTCCTCCAGAACCTCACATCCCTTTTTATTAGGACCACCCCGTAGAGAATGCAGGCATTTCAGCCTTTCCTGGGCCAAATCATGATGCACCTTGAAGTACGCGTTTAATGGGTTGAAATCCTTGCATACCTTGAGATCGGCTTTATGAATCGTGAGGTACAGATGAACAAAGCACCAGTTGTAGCCTTGACGTCACTACCACTTTGCAATGTCCCAGGTACATCAAAGAAGGGAAAGATTGGCAAGATTTATATAGCGGTTCATTACACAACTTGGGTAGCCATTGAGTCAGCAGAACTTGTGCCAAAAGCACATTTCAGATGTCTTCATGTCCTTTCTTTAAGGCCTTGGCTTTCTGTTCACTGGAATTTTTTGAAACTGGAAACTTGGATCGTGAGAGTTTTAAGGCTATGGAATTTCCAACTACAGGCAATTAAACTTTGAGGAAAGTTGAATCAGTGTCTTGGGAAGTACTGAAAAGAAGATAACTTTAGTCGTTCAAATTTGAGGTTTACAAATGACAATTTGGTTGAACGTATACTTATATCATGATCATACCCGTTAACGTTCGATAACGGGTTCCGGACCGGTCCGTACTTTACGGTATGGCCCGGGTTCCATGGCTTTCATAGAACAATTCGAACGCGTTTTGTCCTAACCATGTGCGCCGCTTTCGAAAATTCGAATACAGAATCCGAACATTGGAACTGGTGTTGTTGCATGTGAGAGTTTAGGGGCACCAACTTTTGGCACATCTTGCATTGAAAGGCGCGTTTTCTTGGGTGGGTATGACATAAATGAAATACAACACGGTGTATTCCGCATCGCCCTCGGTCACAGCCCTCCTGCAAGTCGGATCGCCCTCGGCCTTCGGGCGTCGGGCGATCCGACCCGCGGTCGGGCCGATACCTCGGACGATACGGAATACCCTGTGTTGCATTCTATATTTATGAATGGAAGCAGCTGACCTTTTTGATTTTCAATGTCAAATCATCAAAGGAAAAGATACTTTTTTCTTGCGTAGATCTTTTTTTGGGGCCACCTTGCAAGTCTGCTACCACTCATTGGTTCTATCAAATCTCCATCATGCCTAGACACATTCTGTGAGTTGTTTTCCATTGCAAAATGACCTTAACTGTCTAGAACTTACTCTGTATGTTCACCCACACACCAAATTTCAGCTAAGACCACCCTAGCTTTTAGGGTAAATTGTCAGGACTTACAAAGGAACAGTTTGGCTCACCATGAAACAATAATAAACTAAGAAATAACCTGTACTACGTGTTGCGGCCCGCTTGTTCTGAGTGATTGACAAAATATTCTTTTGAAACATACATGTTTACTGCACATGAAGTGTTGTTTATATGTTTTGCATCGAAGTAAAGATAACAAACATGATTTGAAGCTGATTCATAACACTATTAACAGCGTTATATTCATCAAAAGCGTACATGTTTGCTACAAACGGACAGTTGCACGCTTTGTGAGGACAATTTTGGGTTCGACTAAAGATAACAAGCGTAACTTCACACTGACTCATATCAGCAGGATAATCTTCTTAAACACACGTGTTTACTGAAAACTGACACAATTTGCTGTCATTACAAATAACAAATTTCACTCCAAACTGACTTGATGTCATATGTGATGGGCAGGCTTTGTGTTATGACGTACAGGAATTGTTTCAGTTGTGCATCTAGTTTTAAAAAAAAAAGTTGACTTCATAAATCTCACAAGTCTAAGAACATAAATTCTGCTCAGTAGATTACAATATAAACTGTGCATGCTTTAGATGTTTGGGGGAACACTTGCCTAACAGGCCAGATCCTGGATTGGCAAATGAATTTTTTTATGTAAGAACTACATGTATTGTACTGCAATAATGTGAATCATACCATTCCAATGATTCAGTGTTCCTCAGTGGTTTTGTGGTACTTAGGTATTGCTATAATTTGTGGCAATTTCTTGTTAATTGATATTAAGGCTAAGATAAACAGGAGCACCTCCTCAATTCTGATCCATTTCTTTTTAAAATTGTCACTCATTTCTTTGGCGTTCCTACACAAAAATTATCAAGATTTATCTATGTAACTTTTAAAGTTGTCTTGTGTCCAAACCAAGGCATGTTGGAAGCATTTCGGTCAAACTAATTGATTTCTGCCTAACTGTACAATCCATCTGCTAATCAGCCTGAGATCATTCCTCCTCTTGGACAAATAAACCCTTCCTGACAAGATAATCCACTGGTTGGTGCGGCAGGGGGAGGAATAATCCCCCTACTATACACAGATAAATCCCAGACTCCTTGGAAATGGCCTTGAAGATTTTCAGGGTGACCTTGTCTGACCTCCGATTTCCCTTGTTTTTCTGCAGCGGCCTGGACCTGAGCGGCCTTCCCATGATGCTTGGCGGGGTGCAGACGATCGACGCGATCCTGGTGCGACCTGGGCAGGTTTCGTCCAATGATTTTGTGGGATGCATCCGTGAGGTCACGATAAATGGCGTGCCCCTCAACCTGGCAGTACCTCTCTCTTCCCGCGGTATTTCGGACAGATGTCCCAGGGCGGCAAACACGTGCTCCCCGGATCCATGTAAAAATGGCGCCGCGTGCCAAGACAAATGGTCCAGTCATCAGTGCCAGTGTTCAGACATCTATGTTGGTGACAACTGTGACAAACGTGAGTGCCCCAATGTCTTCGAAACACTATTTCTCTGTAAACCTTTTGTGGTGTCAATGCCCTCATATTTTTTTCAGTGATATGCCAATGTAGCTGTTACAGTTACTGTATAAACCTTAGCTTTTCTTAATAATGCAAACCTTTGCACCTGTCACTCTTACTTCACCCAAGCAAGTGAACCATACATTGTTTTTAGCCTGTCTGTACAATGTATGTCTGTCCATGTACATGTACATGTACATGTATGTGTGCATGTTTCTGCAGTGTAGTTTCTGTACATCATGATAGAGGGCGCTAACCACCTGGCTGCTTGTTACACCACTGTTTCTCACCAATCCCCTACTTTTTGCAGGACGCGTTCCCTTCTCCTTCGGTGGCAACAGTTTTGTGGAGTTCCAGATCAAGGAGAGCTACGTACGGGAACTCCAGCTGGGGAACCAGGTGTCAGGCCGCAGGAGGAGAGCCAATCAGGACACGTCTCTGTCTTTCAAGTTCCGCACACGAGAAAACAACGGGCTGTTGCTGTATGCAGGAGGCTCAGTCAGATACACTGTCCTGGAGGTATGCTTACACTAAAACTACCTATAACCTCAAAATAAAATGTATCTTATCCATTTGAATTTCAAATTTGATTGCATCTTAATGGTTTGCGGTGTAATGATTTGCATTTGTGTTGTATTAAATTCTGCTGCTATATACATGAAGCATGGTGATTTTTTGACCCAATAATCAGTGAAAAAAAACTTTTATTATCATATAATGCTACTAATGTGTAAGCCACTATGTCACTTCTTTGCTCCAAGTTGAGTCCAAACACTTTGTTGTTGTAAGGCATATACAAAGTCAATGATTTTCTGGTAACTGAACATTTTTTGTAGGAGTTTTGTAGAAAATTTGATTCACATCCCCCTTTTAAGGTCAGTAGACATGAGCGCGATTTTTGTTTGTATTTACTAGGTGAAGGCAGGAAAGCTGGTGTACTCGTACAATGCTGGATCAGGACACAGGACCAGGGAGATCGACGTGGCGGTCACCAACGGCCTGTGGCACACGGTCACCCTGGTGCGCAGGAGCACCTCCACCTCCCTGTTCCTGCAGAACGAAGAGCAGACGCAGACAGACTGGAACACGGAAATCACCGGGACGACCCACGACTTCCTGAGCTCTGACGTCACCACCATGTCAGTTGGTGGGACCAACACACCTGTCACTATTGAGGGCCAGACCTTACCAGGTACATTAGTACATTGTTTGTGCCTTTATTTACACTCAAAATTGCTCTCTTTGGCCATCAGGGCTGCTTTTCATAGAGGTCGAATATGACTTTTTCTTGGCATGTAAAGAACACATCTTATTTTCAAATGGATGGAAGGTAAAGGATGTATGTTGTATGTTAGCTATTTATACATCTGTTACAGTTGTAATTTTGCCTCTGCTTTAACGAAATGTTATACTTTGTTTTGGCAGGATTTGATGGCTGTATTGATGAACTGAGGTTGAACGGTCAGCTGCTTCCCTTCGTTGGCTCTAACAACATCGTTATCGCAACTCCGTCGGAAAATGTTGGCGAAGGCTGCCCCAGCCCTGCCGTGTGTGTGCCCAACCCTTGCCCCAACAACCTCCTCTGCATCGACCAATGGCAGGAGCACGAATGTGTAGAGCCTGGTGCTTGTGCCTCGTCTCCCTGTAAGAACAACGGAACGTGTATTCCTAATGACAGCGGATTCAGGTGTCGCTGCGATGGCAACTACAACGGCACTCTGTGTGAAAATGCTATCGCGTGCATCGGTTTTACCTGTGGGAAAAACCAAGTGTGTGTCGGAGTGGGGGCCACTGGTCGCACCTGCGAGTGCATGGAAGGATACGGTGGAGACAACTGCCTCCAACAACTGCCTCAGGGCGCAGCGACAGGGTTACACATCGGTGTGATTATCGTTATCGTGTTCTTCTGTCTCGTCGCGGTCATCCTCCTCATTGCCTTTATCGTGTACCACCGGCGCCGCATGCTGAGGAAAAGAGACCAGGTTCCCAAAACCACAAAACAAAATGGTGGGCACATGGCGAATGGTGGTCAGGAAAACAGAGCGTACAACACCGATGACATTGATTCTGTCACGCCGTACTTGGGCGACGGAATGATGACTAACGACACCATGTATGACCAGAAAGCCATGCACTTCAACGAGCGGGAGGTGAAAATGCGCGACCCCACACCAGACATCATTGAACGCGGACGCGGTTCCGTACCAATCGACAACATGGATGATGATGACGTCGTCATCGAGAACGATGACGGCATAACAGCATTGAGTCGCCTGCCTGAAGACCGAGACCCATTTCCTGAGCACTACGATTTGGAAAACGCCAGCAGTATCGCTCCCTCAGACATCGACGTGACGTACCAAGCCTACTACAAAGCGTTCCGCGAAGGAAAGAGGTACAAACAACCTGTACCCAACCGACACAACCACCACCCACGACAGAGCCCCAGCAGTCTTCTCCACCAAGTGCACATGAGAGATAGTCCCAACCACCTCGCTCGTAAAAGCCCCAACCACCTTTCCCACAGGGACAGTCCCAGTTTCCAAACCTCCGCCCGACAAAGCCCTGCCAGCCACCTTCTCCGTCAGAGCCCGAACCACCTGGCCAGGCAGAGCCCTGCTAGCCATTTAGAAGGGCCCATGAGGCCGCTGGGCATGAGGACTAGTTCTGATCACCTGCCTCCGTCCGAGCATGGCAGCCACTACAGCGGCAGTAGCATGGGCTCCAAGAACCGCCGCCGGGCAAAGAGCCCCTGTGCCAGCTCCCACGGACGGGGCAGCAGACCCAGCAGTAGGTTAAAACAACCCATAGAGCAGATTGAGATGGACAGTGGGCCGCCTGTCGGGCTCTCGGTCGAAGAAGTAGAGATGCTCAATGCTCGCCCAAGGCACAGCGTTGCCAGCACTATGGATGGTGCGTCATCCATAACAGAAAGAACTATGCCAGTCAACGACAAAATCATGAGTCTACTAGAACCCCCCGATTTGTTAGAACCCCCTGAGAGTAGCACCGAGGAGAGCCAGGACGATTCCTTCACCTGCTCCGAGTTTGAGTACGAGCGGGAGAAACCGTCGAGAAGCAGAAACAACTTTGACCCGAGAACTAACAAAATGTTCCCTCACGGCGACAACGGTTCGTTGGGAGGGTCGCTGAGTACGCTGCTAGAGGGTGATGACCCACAGAAGAAGCACGCTCTCCCTCCAAACGGCACGTTCAGCTGGGACTACTTGCTAAACTGGGGGCCAAACTTTGAGAACCTGGTGGGGGTGTTCTCAGACATTGCTGCTTTGCCTCCCGATGCTCAGAGCAGGGAACAGAACTCTGACGAAACAACAACGAAAGTTAACGGCGTGGCCAACAATGAAGAATATGTGTAGGCAAATCATCATTAATATGTTGCCCTACTTGGTACATGTATAGCACGCAAATGTAAATGCTATCCTTTAATATAGAAAATAAAGAATCAATGGTGAACACAGATATTTCTATCCAGTGAATAGAATATTTATTGGCATCAAGTAGACAAATAGATGTGTGATTCCTTTTATTATACAAAGTCTTAAATCATATCATGATAATACAATGTATATATGATGCCACGTACATGTATTCCCTGTGCCATTTGTATCTTCACAAAGCAAATTTCTGCACCTTTTCCAAGATTTTTAGACTTTTCACATCACAGTCATGCTTCCTTAAATGGCAAAATCTATATTTTTGTATCCTCTATTGAAGTTGTTCACAATGAATTCTGTAATTTACAATTAGAAAATGTAGTGAAGAAAATACTAAGGTACATTTGTATGTTTTAAATTGTGAGATGTACAGCATTGTATAAAACATTACTAAGATAGGATTTGTTTTATAGTGTCACATATGACAAGTCCACAAATTATGAATGTGGGGATGGATGTGTATAGATAGAACAGATAGAAGGAAAATTGTTTTTATATTATGTATGTAAGCTGAATGTTGTTTTTTTGTTTCTGTTGTGTTCAGATGTAGTTGATTGTGATGATTATTGATTACCAGCTTTTGTATATTTGTATGGCAATATTGGAATAAACTTTCCAGTATGAACTTGATGATTGTGTTTTTGGTATTTTGAGTCATATTTCTGCAGAAGTGGGTGAGTGAATGAATTGATTAGTGGCTGTAAAGATGGGTGAATAAAATGGTGGATGGATGGATGAACCATGGGTATTGACATTTCCAGCATATGATTGAATGATTGGTTTCCATCAGAGAGCATGAAAAATCATACAATTGCAGCCCTTACATTTATGTGCCTAAGTTGGGTAATGGCACGATTTGCTGTGCTAAAAGTCTATACAACTTGACAATGAATTAAACGTGTACAGCCGTTAAGCTTCGTTACTTTTTAGCAAACTATTATGGCTAAAATCTCTAATAAAATTTTGAATAGGCATGACAGAACTGGGCAATGTAGAAAATGATTATCATTGACATTGCCTCTGGAAGGAATATTTGCCTAACTCGTTGCCCGTATGGTGGTGCAACAGCGCTCCCTTGCATTTATACTAAGTACTACAACTCAGGGTGGTCCTAACTTGGTCAGTGAAATACTAGTAGTATTTCACACTTGCGGCAAGTGATTTAGGTAG